CATTGGTTCTGTAAGCATCTTGAATGACCCTCAAATACTTGTTAAGAGGAGCTGGAAGACTGGAAAAAGTAGGAGTGAGTAAACCGAGACGAGCAACTCTAAATTTTTGTACTGATCCTAAATAATCAGCTTGGGGTCTTCCTGTTACTTCCAGAGACAGAAGAGTTTCACCAAAGCGGCCAATATTCCTTGGCGTGTAAATGTTGCTTCCATTCCTTATAATAACCTTGTAGCTTGTAGTAATTTGTAACAAACGGAGAGTACAGTTGATGGAAAGTTCTCCAAGGAACAATTTTGGCCCTGAGCAATCACCTACCCTATACAATATGCCTAAGTTTGTTGCGTTTCCGTTTGAGAATATAGCCTCTCCTTGATTTTGGTAAATACCTTGAGGGCCAAAGTAAGTGTTGAATCCTGGTAAAGGTGCAGGGTCCAATCCAACAGATCGAAGTGCTTGAGGCAATTGAGTTCGAAGAACATTGTCAATATAATGGTTGGCAATTCTGCCTGCTAGTGCCACTCCTGCAAATAAATGAAAAGCCTTTGAGGTTAAATAGCCCAACTCTTAAAACGTGTGAAATAAATTTTGATGTGAGGGAAAAGGATTTGAATCGAAGAGTAGTGAGTTATTTTGTTTGGTGAAAGAGCTTTGAAAAACACTGTTAAATGAACACTAGGAACAAATGGGTTAACAAACACGCATGCTGTTGAAATTTTCTCACATCAGCGTCATCTGTTGATGAACTTGGTAACTAGTTTTAAAATCTAGAGAAAATGAATCTGGTTTCCTGAGTAGTACGTAGCAAAGTGTAGATTTTTATATCGTTTAAATCATCAGTCATTTATAGAGTTTCCTATAAATATTCCTTGCATTATAATACCGTATTGATTGCTTAGGGAAAAGGATTTGAATCGAAGTAAATTGATTACGTATAAGCAAAAATGATTGAAAATGCATAGATACTATAATTTAGCAAAGGAAGTTGAATCAGTGCTGGCTCACTATAGGTAAGCAAAGGAAATCGAACTAATACAAGATTACTTCATTCAGGCAAAGGAAGTTGAATCAGCGCTGACTCACTAATAAAGGAAATCAAACCTATACAAGATTACTACATTCAGGCGAAGGAAGTTGAACCAGTTCAAGATTACTATACTTAGGCAAATGAGGTTAACCTAATTCAAAATTACTATATTTTGGCACAGGAAATTACATCATTGACGGCTTACTATATGTTGGCTAGTTCAGGAAGGAAGTTGAACTAGTTCAGGAATACTATATTTAGGCAAAGTAAGTTAAATTAGTGCAAGAGTACTATATTTAGGCAAGGAAATTAATTCATTTAAAAGTTCGGCAAAAGAACTTGCATCAATGCAAAGTAAATATGTTTGGACAAAAAGTGTTGAACCAGAGTACGAATTTTAGTGAACACGATAGTTTTTTTCTTTCCTTCTCGTTTAAATATTATTTTCAAAGAATAATGTGTATACTGTATTGACACAATTCTCTGCAAGAATTCGAAAAGTATATATTGAAGATAATAATTCCTAAACACCCTCTTTACCTAAATGTTTGCTCAGTTGCTATATTCAAAACACAAAATTTTTCTGATAAAAAAAATCATAATTCATTTTCTCTACTATTATTCTGATATATTTTATTTCAAAGATATCTCTGATATATTTTGTTTTAAAGTTAAACATTTGAAAATGGTATCTTTTTTAAACATTAAATATTTTAATTTCTTAATTCAACTAAAAATGAAATTTTTAATCTTGTGTTGAAGATTGTTGTTTAATGTTATAAAATGTGCCAATTAATCTTTAAAAAAAAAAACCAACCCGAGTTTTTTCATACTCTTAATATCATTTCAAAAAACACTGAAGACATAAAAATACTACACAAAAATTCTGAAAAACTATGATTTGTTGAAATGTTTTGCTGCAGTAGTAACTATGCTGATCCAATTTCAAGAACAGATGTGCAATAATCAATACATTAATTAGGTAGATTCATTAATAATTTCCGAAAACATTATTTGCCCCGTATTATTACATTGATAGCTGTTAACCCTATGACGCAGAATTTTTATTAAAAATATTTTTTATACATTTTCATAAATTTGCCTTAATTTAGGAAAAAATAAGTGAAAAATATTCGATTTAGCATTTTAATAATTTATGATTACGAAATACAGTATGAAACATTGGAGTCTTTTTATCCTGCAAACACGACTCACTTCCAAAGAATAATTTTTCAAATTTGCACTTTTTTGCAGTTATTTAAATCTAAGAGAAACAGTTACTTATGATTGAAATTTTTTAAATTTTCAAACTCAATTATTGATAAATATATGAATATGAATGAAGAAAAAAATTTTCATCTGCATTTTTTGGATTTATATTTTAGTACAAATATAATTCCCATAATTTTACAGATTATTAAACTGTTTTTTATGATTAAAAAATACCAAAATATATCTTTGCTTGCAATTAGAGCATCAGAAAAAATATATATATGCGAGACTATGGTGTCTCATCTGCGCCAAACGGAAATCATTTGTTGAAACGAATTGGGATTATAGTGTATTTTTAATTAAGTAAGCTTTTATAATTTTGAATTTTTATAATTAAAATTTGCATGATTTTGAATTTAAAAATGTGTTAATAAAATTTCAGTACTTCTCCGTTTTTGGGGAGCAAATGATAAACTTGTCAATGCTAAGTCATCGGGCACCAGTATCTTTAACATTTTCTTGTCTTTTTTTATGATTTTCTCTTTTAATTCATTTCAAACGACTGTTTTTCTTTTTTTTTTTTCTTTTTCTTTTCTTAAGAAAAATAAAATAGCTAAATTCACTTGCAAAATAGAAAAGAAACAAAATTTTGTAAAAGTTTGATCTTTAAAAAATATGTCTTAATAATTGTAAATTTTAAAATTCGTGAAATTTTTAATTTGTAGAATTTTTTATTTTTTTGAATTTTGAGTCTTTTTAATTTCGTTTGATATCTGCGTGAAATGCAATCAAGTACTGCAGCATGGTAAATGAGCAAGTGATGGGACATAACTTAAACAGTGTTTGTAACAGCTGTTCTATCTGTAACAGTAACAATAAAAAACAGTTGTTCTATCTGTAACAGTAGCAATAAAAAACAGTTGTTCTATGTAACGTATATATTAGAACAAAATAAATTAATGTTTCAGTAATTTTAAAGGAAACTCACGGAAGATACCCCAAATGACACTCTCCAGTTAGGCCTAATTGCTTTTTACAGATAGTTTTCTAATTTCGATAACCTGAAACATTTTTTTATTATTATTAACGACGTTAAACAACCAACCTAATTCTGAGTTAACAATTATCAGTGTTCAATTTTGTAACTTTGTAATTTCAGAAAAACTTCCAGAAGACAAGGGAACTCCTGGGTCAAGCAGTGGGACAAACTAGCTTCTTTGTGGATGAATGGATGATGGAACTAACCCGCATTTACGTTACATGGAGAGGAAAATCACGAAAATCCACGGTTAGTCCCACGGCAAGAGGATGAGATTTCATAATTCTTCCTCCATTGAGGATATTTTAAGTCATCACTGTGGTCAGTGCAAACAGATAAAGGCAAAATTCGTATCAACCAGCAAACATTGAGATTCGAACCTGAGTCACCTCATTGGGAAGCGAGTTCTCAATCCCCTGTGCCATCACGACTTTAAAACATATTTTTGACTACTTTGAAGTATTAATCAAACTATAAATTATCAAAAATTATAATTATTAGCTTGAGTATTTCACCAGATTTTGCTAATTCAGCTTTGTCCATTTTCATAAATACATATTTTGAGCTGTGTCTGTTTTCTTAAATACACGTATTGAGTAATGATAATCTTCTTAAATACACATATTAAGTTATGATCATCTTCTTAAATACAC